CCCCAAAACCCCAAAACCCCAAAACCCCATAAGGAGAATATAATCAATATTATGAGAAAAAATGAATATTCTAAGAGAACATTTACTTCACATCAAATATTTTTATTATAATCAAATTCCTCAATATCTTTCTAGCCTCATTATTATTAGACTTTATCTTAGGGCTATTTTCCAGTTATAATATCAAGTTCAAATAGCAAGTCTTAAAGACTTTTGCTTTTGAATCTTTCTAAATAGTTTAGAACGTTTTAAATGAGTCCTTCGTCTTTCTTCATATTGATTATTTTGCAAATATTATTGCATTCATGATTTTTAATCCAATTATTCATTCCATTTTCTCCCAAATCGATAAGGCCCAGAAAATTTCGTACTTTAGAAAAGACAATAGGATCAGTCATCACATATTGGCCTGTATTTATTTTCCAACCTTAAATATCAGTTACTATGACCAGTCCTCCAGTGACCATGTAAGTCCAATGGGTGAATGCATGAGGCAATCTTACTTTCCCAAAATGAGGATGTTATAAAAGGGTGTCTTTTTTTGCTCCACTGGGTCTGTTAAAGTTGTTAAATATAATTTTTTCATTAGTCTCTTGAAATTCCTCTAATTCATAGACATATTTAATATCTTCTTTGTAAAGAGGTATTGCTAGATAGGGTTGTACATACTTGAGAAATATTTCTTAAGTAGGGAAACATTGTTTCAGCATAATATTAAATGCATTAGCTAATGCCACAGCTATGTATTGCTTAGCAATATCTATTGGGACTTAAATCAATTCTTCAAATCGCTTAATTCTTTTAATAACCCACTTTTTATTCGGCTCTATTCTGTTCTCTTTCAGGACTATAAAGCCATTCTGCATTTTTATTTACTCAAAATCTCTTCTTTGAAGTGCCACAGATACTTAATGAAAATACCCCTCCCCTAGCATTTCTCTATCTATGTACAACTCTAACTCTTTTTTTAGGACAAATTCAAATGTATCTGAAGTCATTTCATAAATTTCAAACCATCTATAATCATGAGATCTCTTTAGTTAAACTGATAATTTTGTCATCGGATCCTCAAGAAAAATCCTCCTAAATATTTCCATGACGTATTCTACATACTTAAACCATTCAGTTCTATTTTCTCGATACGCATGCTTGATTCTAGAGATAAGCATCATTTTGTTTATGAATTCAATTTAATAATAGCATTCTTAGCACATCAAAAACTAGCATTATCTATCTAATTCATATTTTTAACATGAGTAATAAGTATTAAAGTCCTTGCATAAGCATGTCTTACATAATATGTAGTCTTTAATGCTTATATCAATGGGCGAAGTAATTTTCTTTATTTATTCTTTGCAAAAACAATTTACTGCTTTTGCAGGTATTTATGGAATCACTTTATCTCTTTCATTGCTAACTATTTAAATACTCGCAGTGGCAAGAGTTCTAATTTTCTCACTCTCTGGCTACATTATTAGTATAAGTATCAAGGAAAGTGTTTTAAAGATTAAAATAAGAAAACTTAAATAATCATTGACTAAGACTTACCTTCAATAAAAATTTGCCTAGAGGTTCAAATTCATGCGATAATTTGTAGTCCCAATCTCCTGTTATTAAATTCTTATATTCAAGCGATCCTTTTATTTTTAAACTTTTATGATCATTTTCAAGGCAGATTACTTCAATATCAAATTGCCCATCTTTATGAGTGCCAGTCAACTTATAATTGAATTTTTTCCCTTCAAAACCTTTACCATTTACATTTTCCTCTTGTATACAAAACTCAGTAAGAGTTATTATATCCTGGATATTTCCATCAGTTCCAAATATTCTTTCAATCTAGAAGTTTTTCGCCAGAGGTTCTTCATTTTACTCCTACTCTTGCAAATACTCTTCATCTTTCAAATATAGTTCATCTGTCAATTACTTTTAATCTTTAACTGAAACTGTTTCATTATTAGCCTTATTTGACAAGCTCAATGAACCTCCCATATTCTGTAATTTATTTATTTTAAATTAGATCCTTCCAAGAGAACAACAAAGTTTGCAATTATTACTCTATGGGGTTTTGGGGTTTTGGGGTTTTGGGG